GGCTTCTTTGTCCCAGCAAAAATAAAAAAGCTGTAACTTACCGGAAACTTGCTTTTCTTCCCCCAAAGTTCTCAGAGTGGAAATCCAAAGCACTTACCAGTGGGAGCAGGTGCTGGGACGAGCACGCGAGAGACGGGGTGAGCTGCCTGGGCTGGCTCCTGGGCTGCAGTGGCGGCTGCTGCCCAGCTCCAGCTCCTCTTATCAAGGGACCAGCTGCCGCTGTTGCCATGGGGATGCTCTGTTTCTCAGGCGCCAGGGCAAGGGGGATGGAGAGGGAAAGAGGACTAATCTCACAGCCTCTGCTCCCAACTGTAATAATTGTCCCTTACAGAAACACAATACACAGAGTTGTGCTTCGAGTGCTTAGTGTGCAAGGCTGGAGAAACCCAGACAACCCAGCTCGGTCCTCTAGTCCCCATGACAACCCTCGTAGGAGGTGTTTTTGGCCTGAATTTGCAAAAATGGAAACTGAGGCACAGAGCAGTTAAGTGGCTTGCCCAGAAGGTGCCACAGCAGGAAGTGGCTGAGGTGGGGGATTCTCACAGAACAGGTACTAGTGTATGTTATTTCCTTTTCTTCCTGAGGTTGCACACGGTGCAGGTCCTGACAAGCCCCTTGTAGGCTTCGACCACCCGCTAGTCGCTGGTATTTGCCAGCTTCCCAAATAATAGGGCCGGACTACTAATAAAGGCATCCTGAGGTTGGGTTGAGGGTTAGATTTCTTTCAGAGGTCATGGGAACAAATCGGTAGGGAATGGGCTCCCTTGTTTGTCTTGGTCCTTATTGGGATTCCTAAATAGAGATGGAGGCTGCCAAAAGGTAAGTCTCCTGGCTAGGACGGGGACCCCTGGATACTAAGGGGGAGTCCCTGGAAGCAGCACTGTGCTCCAAACTGCCTGCTTCTTCTNGGAGAGGCTGGGAGAGTCATAACCAGGCAACACATAAACAAAGGCTATGAATATGCAAAAGACCCATCCATCAAAAATCTGAGTGTCTCATTTTTAGAAATGGGTAGAGACAGAAATGTTTCTGGTGTTTTCATTACAAAGGTTATGCAAAAAGTCAGTTCTGGAAAGGAAACAGATTGACAATAAAGCAGAAAAAGGCTATTTAAAATTCTGTCTTGATAGGCAAAGAGAGATATTTGAAATATTTTATTGGCATTGCACATGGGATGTGTGCCGGGAAACCCCGGAAATAAACTAGACTGCCACATCATTCCATTTATTGTCTCAAAAATGCTCTGCCTGAAACTCTTTCAGACAGCACCCCCCCGCAAGATGACAATGTCTCCCCTCTTTCTTTTTTTTTTTAACTCTTATGAACTTCTGTCTTGTGCTTCAGCTAATAGTTACATGGCAGACCCCACGGGCCCATGGCTATTTGTCTGTCCATCTGGTGTTGGCTGTTATTAGAAGACACAAACTATCAGGCTCCAAGGGGCCTCCCCTGACTTGCCTGCAACCTAAATGGTAGAAACCTCCCTTTTTCGACTTCCACTACTGACAATCCCACTGGAGCTTTTACCTAGGTGGTTGCAACGAGGGTCAAGCTTGTCCAGTCTGTCTTCTGAGAGCTCCAGTGGCTGCATTTGCTCAGTGGACATCATCAAAGGAGGGTTGGTGTGTTTATTTGTCCTGCAGCACTACAGAACTATAGAATACAAGTCCATTAGTATATCTTCTGTTCATTCATTCACTTATTAAATGAGCGTATTTATTGAGCACCTATTATTATGTTCCCAATTCAATCCTGTTTTTCAAGTCTGCTTCTTCTACTTAGCTACTAGAAGCTCTAATGTAAGATTTAAGCCAAAATAAATGAAACACACACACACACACACACACACACACACATATGAATGCATGTGTGCAAATACACACATGAATTTACCAGTAATTGTCTTGTATCAAATATTCAATATTTGCCCTCTCTCAGAAGCACTATGGGATTTTCAGAATGAACACTCATCAACTCTGAATTATAAATGAGTTAGCCGAGAGTTACAGAAAATCTTGATTAAACCTTGACTATAGTGTCTCTTTTGAATTCTGCAAAGATGCCTGCTTCATAGACGAGGAAGCCAAGGCTCAGAATATCTACCTAATTTATTTAATTGCACATCTATTAAATAGCCAAGCCTTGATCCGAACCCACTTCTACAGACTTCTATTAGACACTCAATTCTCTTAAAAATAAAGTGAATTTTTTGAGCCGTAATGGTTTTTCAACCATTACATCCTGTAACTATAAAGTAATGAGACTTCTTCCCTATCCATAGCGCGATGGTGATAGAGGTGGTGGGGAAAAAAACTAAATCTTGAAGTAGATATTTATTTTCTCCCTACAGATTCCTGACATTAGTGCAATGTCTCCCGTCCCCCGCCCCCCATTCCCCATCTCTCCTAGACCACAAAGCCATTGAACTTTCCAGAGCTATTAGTTGTAGCCATTGTCCAGGGGAAGTGGAGATCCAGAATAGACATGTGTCAGGTCAGAATGAGAAATGCGTTCGTTGAGATTTACAGGAAATATTCCCTGGAGCCTACCTAGATCCTGTTTCTTAAATTGTTTTCAGACAGTTGATTACTCATCTCCTATCATAGCCAACAATGGTTGGGGAGGAATGAAATTAAAATGGCCCCACTTATCCTCGTCTCTTGATTCCTGGAACCCTGGCATGCAGACCAGCTGTGTTAACATTTCAAGCTCAGAGAATTAGTTCAACTCAGTTGTCTTATGAGGAATAAGCCAGTTTTCTCCGGGAAGGCTGGAGGGCCTCTCCCCCTACAAGCTGAGATCATCGCACAGCAGATGGAGCCATTAGCAGATTACTTGAGCCGGCTTTTAGTGTCACTCTGAGCAGACTGATTGTACTGAGTGACTGCAGCAGAAATCAATTTAGACCATTGTAGTTAGTGTTGGTGTAGAGACTTCCAACTCCCTTGGACCACGAGGAAGGATGTCGTTAACTTGGGTGGCCAGCCTCCACCTGCTTGAGTGGAAAGGAAAGCTATGGGACCATCTCTCAGGAGGAGTGGGCTCATTGCTGACGTCTAGAGGCAAAGGTACAGCCTCCAATATGGCCTGTGCACCTACTTAACCACCATTCCTCTTCTTCGGGAAGAAAGACAGTAGCTCTGTCGTAGACTTCGTGCTGAAAATCACCCCATGGCGAACCTGGTCAAAATATTCATTCTCCAAAAGAAGAAACTGAGGCTCAGAGAAGTTAAAATGACCTACTCTTAGTTATACACTGCAAGTCAGAGCCATCATTTGACACCAGGCCTCCTGCCTTCTACGCTAGGCCTACCTGACAAGAGTGCCCGTCTCCATTTCTCCAACCTGAGGTAAGCTGTTCTTTGTACTTAGATCACACGGCTCACTAGATGGTTATTTAATTGAAACCTGAGCTTTCAAGTCAGATCGAGGTTAAATCTCAGCTCTTTAACTAAAAAGCCATATGACTTTGATGAAGTAGCTAAATCTTAATGATGTAGTAAGAGTAAATGGTGCCCAAGTGCAATCTAATCATTAATGCCTGGTCCCCCTACAAGCTATTGCTGCTGTGAGAAAATCTGCAAAGGTTAGCACCTTGGCAGTGTGCCCAAAGATGGCCCCCAGGGACATATGTCCCTTTCTGCCGCCCCCCCCATTCTTACCCTGTTTTCTTATGTGTACAATAGGAATAATGGTTTCTGTCTTATAGAGTTACTCTGAAGATTAAATAGGAGCGCTTCATGCTTTGTATGTTGTAGGNACACTTAGAAAAAGGATCCCGGCTCTCAGACTCCAGGCTACAGTCAGCCCAGCTGCCCACTCTCAGACTCCCTCTCTCTATACTTCCCCATCCCTCAGGTCCTCAGCAACTCTGGCTGTTTCTGTCTCAGGGCCTTTATAGTTTGCGTTCCTTCTGCGTTAAATGTTCTTTCCCCAGAATTCCACACGGCTCCCTCTCCGGCATCATTCTGGTCTCACCCACTGAGCCTCCATTAGCAAGGCTTTCCCCAATCACCCTGACAACTGTGGCACACGTTTCACCCACATCACCCTCCACAGGTATCCTCACCCTGTCTGCCATGGCACTTGTCGGTACTGGAATTGTTTGTTTGTTTCTTGTTGTTGACTCTTTGTGAGTAGAAATCCTGTCTGTCTTGTTCACAGCTCTGTTGCCAGCACAAGGAAAGTTTGCGGCACGTGGCAGGTGCTTCGTCAATACTTCTGGCTGTCGACAGGCTCAAGGCTTTCTGGAAAGGCTTTGGTGTCTGGATTTTCTCTCCACCTGTTGTCACTCCCTCAACCAGGCTGTCCTGGTACCCTGATCTAAATTGGACTCCATGTGGGGGCCAGCCGAGTGGCTCAGTTGGTTAAGAGCATGAGCTCTGAGCAGCAGGGTCGCTGGTTGGATTCCCACATGGGCAAGAACCTATTGATGATTATCCAGTGAGGACTTACTCTCTGTATCTTGGCCACCACGTATTCCCCATGCCAGGCACAAAGTAGCTGTCACTTATTCTGTATTGAATGAGTATTAAAATATTCTGAGTTCCTCCTGGGTTCAATTATAGAGTTGAATATTTTAAAAAATAGCTATTTGCGACAACATGGATGGATCTTGAGATTATAATACTAAGCGAAATAAGTCAGACAGAAAAAGTCGAGAACCATATGATTTCACGGATATGTGGTATATAAAACTGAAAACAACAAAAGAACATGAAAAACAAATGAAGAAACAAAACTCAGACACAGACAATAGTTTAGTGGTTACCAGAGGGTAAGGGGGGGAGGAAGTGGTAGATGAGGGTAAAAGGGACCAAATATATGGTTACGGAAGGAGAACTGACTCTGAGCGGTAAACACACAATGTGATATATAGATGATGTATTACAGAATCATATACCTGAAATTTTTGTAACTTTGCTAACAATTGTCACTGCAATAAACTTTAATTAAAAAAAAAAAGCTGATGAAGTGTTGATAGATATTGCTCCCTGGGGAAAATTTAGATATGCTTGCTTTGGCTAGAACGTGCTGTTACATTTTGCAGGAAAACCATCAAAACCCACTTGGATCTAGAAGAAGACATCTGTATGCCTTTCTCCAAAAGGACAATTTGACAAAGGGGCTGGACCTAACTCTTCCTGAGCTGGAGGAGACATCCTGATGCTGCTCTGCAAGGTAGGTGGAGAAAAGGTAGCCTGGTGGGTCATACCTGGGCAGGGATGACCTGCTGGCCATCATCGGGAGGAAAGGCAGCCCCAGATACCACGACTGGGTGGAGTTTAGCACCTGAAGCTTGGCCATTCTCTTCTTCTGTCCAGTCACATTGATGCTGACTCCTGTAGGGTTCAGGTGGTCCTCCTATGAGAAGCTCAAGCTGCTAAAAGGAAAACAAGAATGAAAAGCGTGGGCAATTTATCATGTTACACTGAACAGCTAACTCAGCCTGGTGGGAAAGGCATCTGTGAGTGGAGAATTCTCTAGAGTGGGCTCTGTGAGCCAGCAGTGGACTCTGGCAGTGACTTAGCCCACATTCGGTCAAAAGCTGTGTTTCCTGTTCTCATGTGGAAAATGGGCTAATAACACTCAGCTCTTATTCATAGGGCTGAGAAAAAGATTGGCATGAGGGAAAGACTGG